TTTACAGAGTCTATGGATACCATGAAAATGTAAATTTTTCCCTCTAAGTACAAATTTTCGAAATTAAATGTACACTAATAAAAAAATTTCAATTTTAATTTTGATGAACAATTTTTTGATCTATTTGAGGAATCGTTGAATATTCATTCATCTCGATAAATCGCTACGACATTGTTTATTGTTGTTATTATTATTCGTGTAATCTGGTCGCGTTGGAGGTTAGCGCGTGACAGTTGCGGGGGCGTTTATGGCAATTTGCGGCCGCGGATGTTGCCGACTGGTCGAGATTTTCCATCGATTAAAAGTTACGCTACCGCCGGTTCGCACGGCGATAAATTCCGCGGAATTGCACCCTGGTCTACGCGCGTTTTGTTCAACCATAATCCCAGCCACGTAATACCGGTCTCGAGACTACTCAAGATACTTTCGATAGATAACGCTCGGTTCGATCTTTTAGCGAATAAACTACCAAGTCGGGCGACGATTAACGCGATAGACGCGGAAGCAATTTGGGCACTGATATTGATATTACAGCTCTGGCTAAAGGAAAATGAAAAACGGGGAAAGTTGTCTAGGACCCGACAATTTGTTTTGGATCAAATAGTTGGTGATTTGTCCTCGTTTCTAAATAGAGAAATAGGAAATATACATTAAAAATATAAATTGAAAAGTAAATAATAATAAAGAAATTAAACGAGTCAGGTATAGTCCAAACATGATTTTTGAAATTGTATTAGTCATTTCACGTAAATTATCTGACTCTGGAAGGACTTTGTTAGTGTTTTGTAATAGAATAATCGACTTTTCGTTTCGACGTTTTCGAAACTCAACGTAACTTCTTCCTCTATCCGGTCGTTCGAGGCTCCCGTATGATTTTAACGCCAGTTTCTGAAATAGAGGGCATGCACGGGACAATCCTGCATTACTTTGCATACCTTTGGCCCAGAGTTTACACTGAATTCAGGAAGTTACCCAAAAGTTCTCGTCCGCGTTCGTGCGCCACCGCCTCTATCTGTAACTCCCTGTAAACTCGACGGGAGAAATTAAAGTTGAAACTTGGCACTAGATCAGTCTTAAGAATCGGAGGCAGAGCACGTTGAACTTCTGAACTCTGGTATAAATTCAGCTCGTGAATTCTGACAATACTAAATTGCATGCCCCTAATTCGCAACAAGTAAATCTAACAAAGATTTCTGGTTCGTTATCTCGTGATAGGATTCGAACCCGAGAGAAAATATTCTGTTATTTAGCGAAGCGTTCGATAGTTTTAATAATATTCTACGATCTATGGTTACAATTAGAACTACGTTTGTCGTTGATATGGACACATTATTCCATCAAGTTTTGTTGAAATTGGTGCGAGCCGTGTTTGACGTCTCCCTTGTTAGTCTCGTTGAATTTCCACCGTTTGTCCAGAGACTAAGCTACGCTAGAAGTTTCAAAGCGGAATATAGCTTGACGAGGACGTCATAAATATACGTCGACGTTCGTACATCTTTGTCGGCTGACGCAAGGCGTTGTTTGAGGTCATGGGTTAAGGGTGAGACACAGTACGTCGGAGCTTTTAATTTCCGCCGGCGACCTTGGGCAAAGAAATCGTAAATTTCCTCTGCCCCGTGTGATGCTTGGGCGTGGCATTCCTGAAAGGTGAGAAGAAATGGATTAACAAGAAGCTCAGCGTCGATCGTTTCTGTCGATTTACCAAGGGAATACGAAGAACTCGAAATCTCATTACTTTTCCTTCGGGTTCTTTTCCTCTCCGATAATCGTATTTGCGTACATTTCAGAAAATAATAAATAATTTATCGAGTCTATCCCAGTCGCGGTACTGATTACGAAATTCCAGCTAAATTACATCCAAGGAATCAAATTCAATCTCAGCTCTGTATATTCCAATTTCGCTGAATATAATAATTTGGGAATTTAAACGCACTCCGTGACGTTTCTCTTTAATTACACGACGGGTATCATTAATATTTCGCGAAATTTATTTCTGCCATTTAACGCGAATGAAATATTACCCCTGTCACTCATTATGCAATGTCATATTCAAGGAGCATAATAACAGACGTCCAATTATTTCGTGGTAAAAGGTACGGTAGGATATTTCGTTACTTGTAGGAAAATTTTCGTAATTCTCATAAAATATAATGTAGATAAATTTAAACTCATTTTCAATTAAATAAACAATCTCTAATCCAGTGCTTATCGAGTATTGGTTGTATAATCAATAGGAATTGCTGAAGCTTCTTTGGGTATATAGTGTCAAGGTAAATGTCGAAATAAACATAGAAGATAGCGTAAATTATAGTAGTTGTTACCTTCATAGGATAGGGGATGAAAAGTCCTTTAAAATAAAATTTGTTTCAAGGCAATAGTGTAATTAGTTCCGGAGATAGGACAAATTTTGTTACAAGTCGAGCGTCAAAGTAAATGTCAAAATAAACATAGAAGATAACATAAATTATAGTAGTAGGTATACTCATAGGATAGGGGATGAAAAGCCCTTTAAAATAAAATTTGTTTCAAGGCAATAGTGTAATTAGTTCCGGAGATGTGACAAATTTTGTTTCAAGTCGAGCGTCAAAGTAAATGTCAAAATAAACATAGAAGATAACATAAATTATAGTAATTGGTATATTCATAGGATAGGGGATGAAAAGCCCTGTAAAATAAAATTTGTTTCAAGGCAATAGTGTAATTAGTTCCGGAGATATGACAAATTTTGTTTCAAGTCGAGCGTCAAAGTAAATGTCAAAATAAACATAGAAGATAACATAAATTATAGTAATTGGTATATTCATAGGATAGGGGATGAAAAGCCCTTTAAAATAAAATTTGTTTCAAGGCAATAGTGTAATTAGTTCCGGAGATAGGACAAATTTTGTTACAAGTCGAGCGTCAAAGTAAATGTCAAAATAAACATAGAAGATAGCATAAATTATAGTAGTAGGTATACTCATCGGATAGGGGATGAAATGCCCTTTAAAATGAGCGTTTGTACGAGTCGATAGCGTAATTAGTTCCGGAGATATAGCGATTTTAGTTTCAAGTCAATGCGGTGGCTAGTTGCGGAGATATAAGGGTCCGAAGCGTTTGTTTACGTTTCATTGGGATCAATGAACTCGCGCGCGCGACAATAGTAAACAGTGCGTAGTAAATTCTTGGAAATACTACGACTTCCTGGTCACGTGACTGTCTCGACTCACGCGCGAGCGAGAGGTCCAACGCGACGCGTCAGACGGAGACAGAGATAGTCAAATTAAGAAAAACACCCCTTTACATAAATTACGATATCTCGAAAACGGAAAGTCCGATCGACAAAAACCAAAAACCGTTTTAAAGGGGAGGCCTTGCCGCTTCTAACAGTTGCTTAATAATTAATAAAACACTAGTAGTTTCGAAACTGCACGCGTCTAAAGTTTTACTATTTTTAATATACGGTAGTAGGCTTTTAAAAATTACCCCTTCATATAAATTACGATATCTCGAAAACGGAAAGTCCGATGGACAAAAGCGAAAAGCCATTTTAAAGGGGAGGCTTTGCCACTTCTAACAATACCTCAATAATGAATAAAACACTAGTAGTTTCGGAACTGCACGCGTCTAAAGTTTTACTATTTTTAATATACGGTGGTAATAGGCTTTCAAAAATTACCCCTTCATATAAATCGCGATATCTCGAAAACGGAAAGTCCGATCGTCAAAAACCAAAAGCCATTTTAAAGGGGAGGCCTTGCTCCTTCCAATAGTCTATCAATAATTAATAAAACACTAGTAGTTTCGGGACTGCACGCGTCTAAAATTTAACTATTTTTAACACGCGTTGTTATAGTGTCCCAAGACAGTGGAAACTGAAGATTCTCCGGCTGGTGTTTCTGGAATTCTTCAGGAGCCCAGCACTTTGCATACGCTCGGCAGCGAGAAAGTTCGGTTGGCTGAAACCCTGTAATCAATTCGCTCTCGCTCGACAGTCAGAAGTAGTAAATATTATTTTTTCTCTCCCTTCGTGAACGTCCCGCTGTCGGACAACCGCCGTGGCGTACCTGGACGTATACTTACGCGAAGTTTCAAGTCCAAGGTGAGCCACGTACCCCGATATTTGCCAAACGAAATTATCCGGAGGTATCGCTGGCCCTGCAATTCCGAATCAGCACGAGATTCTCGTTTTCTCCCTGTTGTAACCGCGAGCCCGGCGGCGGCTCGGTTATTTCGCGGACCGTATGAAAATTAAATTGCTAATATCCCGCGAACGAGGAACGAGAATTGAAGAGTCCTTTGACGCGATGGACGGATACGTCATTAAACGACGCTGCGACGTCCTTTGATCGAGGATCAAGGACGGGGGAATTGAAACTGCACTTGTAAATTCGCGTTCGTACTTTGGATGTTGTTCGCTTTGCCTCGGCAATTTGATAATCTACTTTGATTTTTCCTACGCGGGGAAATACGAATTTTTTCCACGAGAACTCAATTTAGATTGCTATTGCATTCTTAATCGGCAATAGTCACGCCACGATAAGCTGTGGAAAGTAGAAATTCCATTTATCTCGTCGTTTCAGTTTGAAATTTTACTTGTGACAAAGTTTACATATCATGTCTAAGCAATTTGAAACTATTAATACCAGAAATTCTAATGTTCTTACAGAACGTAATCGGTGTCTAGACTTTCTCGCAACATTTTTAATTCTTGTAAAATTGTACATCACTCTGATTTTACTTATTAATTACGTCTCCATAAAGTGCAACTTTTCTAACGAAAGTTTCTTCCACGTAAAAGTAGTTATCGAAGGTGGTCAAAGATGCTTTTGAAAATGTTAAAGGTGTAATAAAAAATTAATTACGTCCAGTAAAGTGTACTGTGTTTTATACGACCACGTATCGTATTATCCGCGGACGTCGTGTGGCGATAAATCGATTTCGAGGCGACAAAGCGAAAATGGCGCGGGTTGATCGAATCGACGTCGAACTTAGCGGAACGATTTTTGCTCGACTTTCAGAATGGACAATGAAGGAGCGCAGCGCGAGCTGGTAGTAGACGAGCGGTCGTCCTCTCGATTGGTGCCACGACAATCGTCGACAGGATCCTGCAACGTTCGATCATTCACCCTGCAGGTGTTGCGCACGGCAGGCACGAGGTCGACAGGTGCAATAATCGGGGGTGACCCGGTTGCTGCCGCCGGGGCGGCGATGCGACGATGAGCTCGCCGAGGATACTGCTATCCCTCTACACCCGACCAGAGGTTAGTAGAAACACCATCTGTTCCACCAGTATTCGTAATTGTACCGCAAACCAACCAATGTTTCAAATTTTCGATTCTTCTTTGAATACTCTTCGAACAAAGAATCCTCCAAATATAAAAGCAACAGCAAAAGATTTTAACAGCGTCTGTAATTTTCTAATTTTTTAAATAGACAACACTCAATCATTTAGACTTTTCTTTAGATATTTAATTTCACAAGGTAAACTATAGTTTCAACGAAAATAGTTCTTTTTTTGTGAAGTATATTATTTGAGAAAATTTTCAGTGGATTTGTGAAAAATGTTATTAATTTTCTAATTTTTTAAATAGACAACACTTAACCATTTAGAGTTTTCTTTAATTATTTAATTTCACAAGGAAAATTATAGTTGTAGAAGATCGACGATTTTACTTGCACGGTTTTTGCAACGAAAATAGTTCTTTTTCTGTGAAGTATATTATCTGAGAAAATTTTCAGAGGATCTGTTAGAAATGTTATTAATTTTCTAATTTTTTAAATAGACAACATTTAACCATTTAGAGTTTTCTTTAGATATTTAATTTCACAAGGAAAATTATAGTTGTAGAAGATCAACGATTTTACTTGCACGGTTTTTGCAACGAAAATAGTTCTTTTTCTGTGAAGTATATTATCTGAGAAAATTTTCAGAGGATCTGTAAATTATATTATTAATTTTAGATGTATTTGAAATATTATCACTGAATAGTTATTTTAAAATATATTACCTCTATATCTACATTTCTTGGTTACTATAGAAATTAACATTTCAATTTTTCTGTCGATGAGATCGATCCAGTACACCTTCTGATGCAACTAGAGTTTAACTTACTCCGTCTTTAGAGATTACACCTCAAACTTTTTTGTTCGCTGACATACATTGGAAACAGAAATATTTATCGCGTCTGTTTGTGTTAATTATTAAACCTCGCGCGCAAAAAGCTCAAGGAGCGAATTCACGGGAAGATTTAATTCTGAATTTATAAAGATTCGCGTTTCGAATTTTATACCTCCGGTTTCCTTTCGCTTCCCCCTTAATTAGATCGTAAATTGGATTTGAACGTAGCACAACGTAAGGCTGGTATTTAATCTGACAATTAATTTTTTTAAATTTAAATCAAGATATGCGTGAGAATACGTTGTCACTATATACGGATAATAATCTGTCGGCAATTAATTAAAATTTAATAGGTTAAATAATAAAAAGCGTGTTCTAGACGTTTCTTGTATAGCTTGACCGGAATGAATTTCGTAAAAAATTGATGGCAATTACGGGGATTGGCCGGTAATATTGGAAGCTATAAATTCTGCATCTGATGGCTCGGTTCTCTAGGGGCTGGATACGAATTGCCCCTAATCTGTTTTCTGGGGATGTTAGTAATGACTCGGACTATGAGCACTAGGAAAGCAATAATAGTAATAATTCCTAATGGAACGTGTCCGCGTATCGTTTTACGTCTTCCTTCGTTATCAACAATACAAACTTCAGAATCCAGGTATTCTATTATCCTATTATTGTGAAATCCTCATAATATAATAATTATGCAATATACACGCGACGCGATGGTAATGTTTCATTTTGTAATTATCAGAGCAATACTTATATAATGACCATTAATATTTCTACTATTATGTGTGTATTGTTATTATTGTTCTTTATAGGTGACAATAGTATACTTCTTAGATATGTGTACTTTGTCCCTAAAAAAGTTGCTTTTATATTAAACGAGTTTTATATTATAACGAGTTCATACAAAAATAATTCAGTTCCTGCTAAAAGAAAATTCACTTTTAAACAATCCCAAATACGCAAAGGACGGTAATAATTTTTGAAAAATATTTTGCACGTGACAAATGGAATATTTTTAAGAATTGCCTCGTAATTCCCCCTCCTGATTTCTGGAGTTAACCGCTTGCTCTGGAATGAAGAACGTGTGCGTCGTCGTTTGTTTGGGCTAAAACTGGAAACGAAGTATCACGTGCGTCGCTTATCTCCGCGAGCTCAATCTGTTAGCCGGTTTTCTATAACACTTTGTTGTTGCTCGTGCCTTCAAGCCGTGGTGTAAATAATTCACTTTACGTAAATCATCGGTATTACGTTTCTCATAATCTCAACTTCAATATTGGTCTATTTTATTAGTATTATTCCATTCATTCTTATTTTATTTTTATTTCATTAAAATGCCACTTTATTCGTTTAATGGGTAGAAAGTGGCAGATCATCTCCAGAGAAGTAAAATCAATTATAAGTGAAGATGAAAATTCGTGATCTGGTATTACTTGAAGAGCTTTTATTCGTGTTGTGATTAGTAGCTTTTATGCAATTTAAAATTCGAGAATCTCATTTTTTGAAATTAAAAATGAAGGAGACATATTAAAATTTTTAAATATACGAAATCAGTGGGGGGAGGGTTCCAAATCTTTGTAGAATCTCCCAGTTTTATATCAACCATCAAACTTGTCCTCAAATATCAAAATCAATGTTAATTTCTATTTTGTCCTTCCCAACTTTGAACCTTGAGTTTTAACGACGAAAGTAGAAATATTAAAATTTTTAAATACATAAAATAAATGGAGTTGGAGGGGTTCAAATATCTGTAGAATCTCTCAATTTTGTATCAACCATCGAACGAGTCCTCAAATATCAAAATGTTAATTTTTAACTTGTCCTTCTCCACTTTGAACTTTGAGCTTTAACAACGAAAGTAGAAATAATAAAATTTTCAAGTACACAAAATCAATGGTGGAGAAGGGGTTCAAATTTCAATAGAATCTTGTCATTTTGTATCGACCATCGAACGAGCTCTCAAATATCAAAATGAAAATTTCTATGTTGTCCTTTCCCACTTTGAACCTTGAGCTTCAACAACGAAAGTAGAAATAATAAAATTTTCAAGTACACTAAATCAATGGGGGAGGAGGGGTTCAAATTTCTATAGAACCTTCTCATTTTGTATCAACCATCGAACGAGCTCTCGAATATCAAAATGTTAATTTCTATCTTGTCCTTTCTCACTTTGAACCTTGATCTTTAGCGACGAAGTTTTCTTTTTGATCAGTCCCTTTGTGAGAGCCGCGTGTGAAAAGCGAGACGTGCATCTGCTTGAAACGAGATCCTGGTGAATTTTTTCGCAGCCCCGAGTAGTAGCAAGGCCGGGTCGCCTCGCAAGCTGTCGCAAGGTCGAGTACAGAGGAGCGGAAGCCGGTTCAAGGCCGAAATTATTCGCCTGGCCATGGACCTCGAGGTGAGGAACGGAACCGGCGGGAACGACGACGAGGAATACACGAATATTTACTACATCAATGGCGATCGCAGGGAGTCGGCCATGTATAAAACGGATGAGGTCACGGATATGGAGCTTAAGGGCAAGTCCACTTAATTAATTGATCCGTTAATAGAAGTCGGGTGGCAGTTTGTCAAAACGTAGTTGTAGACGTCGGGGAACGGTTGCTTTCTATCGACGGGCATTAATGTTACGTAACTTGGCCCGACCGGCACGATAGACCGCAACCAGCAGGTAATTGGTTCTAATAATTTTCATAACGCGGAAGTCGTTCCAACGAAACGCATGCTTCTGGTCTCTCTGATGCATGAATTTTTTCTTTCGGAAAATAACTCCATTTTCTATTAACAAAAGATTCTATTCTATTCTTTAAACCCTTATCTAGCGCTTTGGAGCATTTTAAAAAAACATATGCTATTAACCCCTTGACTTACGATTTAATTCCAAATAATTTTGTTTAAATTTGTTCGTACAAGGAATAACCACGAAAAAGAATAGATTTACGAGTACCTCGTGAACGTACAAATGTGTTGATTTTAATAAGACTTTATGAATCGTCATTGTAAGGCAGGGGGTTAAAAAATAAAAAGCAGCTTTCTTGCATGATTGCCTTTATTTAATGCAGTTTGTAACAATATTAATGAAATAAATTTTACTCATGGGACTCGGGGACTGTCAAAGTACTTCACGACATCAGTTAAGGGTTGAAATTTTGATTAAAAATAGTGAAAGGAAATCACAAGTTTATAAAATGCATGCAAACGATAAAAACAAAATTGTGACCTTTAAATTTATAATAAGTTTTATCTACATGTAGGCTTTGAGAATTTTTATTAAATTTCTCAGTTCCCCTTCTGAGACAATTTTGAAGGCCTATGTGTGTCAGAACAGATAAGTACTAATGGATATTTAGGAAGGTTTTCTGAATCCTACGGCCATCCGTCTGTGTGCGTGATGCCTGTGGGGATTTTGCACAGTCCATTATTTTATATTAGGGAACAGGTCCATAAATTTTGTCCCTCGCGCGGATTGTTTCCCTGAGAAACAGCTAACTGATTTTGTCCAGCTGCTCTCGATCTTGTAAGAAACATAAAATCACGGAAATACGGCGTAAATCTCGAGTCGAGTTCCTTTAAATAAATTTTAACTAGTGTATATTAATAGGCCACTGTGTAGATCAAAGTGTACAAAGAGCACGTATATTTCAACGGTTTAATGCCTCGACCAACAGTCGTAACTCTGAAACAATGTAAAGAGACTCAAAAGCAACGAAAAATATTTCTATTTGATCTTGTTTCACCAGTTATAGTCTCTTTTGTGCTTCGACAGCTCTTAATCGCAAACTGAGCTGGTATAATTAATTCGAAACTGTTTGTGTACGATGCTTGATAAGTTATTGATATCTCTCAACCCAGTTGACCATTCTGTTCGATAAGAGCACTCGATATTTCATTAGTTCATTGCTTCTTTGATAGATTTTTGTCGATTATAATAATATTTGTCGCCTTTTCGACGGTGGAAACGCGAGTTTTTATGTTCGAGCTCCAATTTAAGGGGGGAAATTAAATTGTTTATTTTATTATTGCTATAGGAATCTGCATAGGAACACGCAATCAATACTTGCTTACCGCGACCATATTTTTTACTTTTTACTTCTTCCGTGAAAGCAATTTATTTGAGCTCATAAAATATTTCCCGAGAAGTAATTAATTTTTCAGCGTACCAAGTTGTTTCCGTTATGTACGAATCCATTTAAAAAAACCATTATACGACGAAGGGGATTCAAATCCGCTGCCTCTAGAGCACGTAAACTTCCGGCTCTATAGTCCAAGCCACGGCTAATATTATTTCGAGAAAGAAATTTAATTTGATATTCGTATACATTGCAATACATTTAATAAGAGGTATATAATTTTCTGTTAATTTATCGTGCGTTCAAATTGGACACAATAATTTTAAATAACACGTTGATGACACTTCTAAATACTTTCCTTTACAACATTGTTTCAACCTAGTTTGCAATTTTCTTTCTGTCTAGCATTTGTTGCAAAAATTACAGTTATTGCACTTTACTAAGTAGATAATACGTGTTTTATCTTGTTTGTCGACTTTATCTTTACCAAGAACGATAATATTGTTTACTTTATTGAAAGGCTTGAATACTGATTTAAAGATCAAACTTTTCACAGAACGAAAATATTAAATATTGATAACAATGATACTTGGATTGAAAATTTATGAAATATTAAACCTTTGGATTGTTTTTCTTTGTCGTTCATTTCTTCGATTCGTTTAACATTTTTTGATTCTATTTTCTGCCATCCTCGATACAATATTACTTATTATGAAATTAAAACAGTACAATGTTGAATGGAAAGTCAATGATCGAATAAGATTTTTTCAAATTGAGTACATTAGAGAAGTTCCATTGAAATAAATCGGCACGACGTTGTATGTTTGGAGTTCATATTTACAAAATACTCATATCGCGAGAACACATTCAACAACAATAAAAATGTTAAAAAAATGATTATCGACGTTCGTGGCGATGTTCGTTCGCTCGAAGTCGAAGTGATAGGTATCAACAAGACGAATGTTCCTCCTCGAGCAGAATGGCTTCCTGTTATCGAAAGTATCTCGAAGCAGAGAGGCATTTCACCGAGAGTTTGGTAGCCATCGGTTTGCCAGGCCGATTGGATCTTTTCGCTCGAGTTCGACGACAGCTATTGAGGTACTCGTCCTCTCGATAAAGATTGAGATTGCTCGGATGCCCGATGCAGCCCCGAGTATTCGATATTCGTTGGATCCACTCAATTATCGATCGTCGTTTCAATAAACCCGAGCAATCTTCAACGAAATCCTTCCCTTTAACGCCCACGCGACTAACCCTCCCCCTCCGCGAGCGATATGAAAGGGTCCATAAGCACTACCGAAATTATGTTTGCACATACTTCGAACCGTGACCTATCGACTGAACCGTAGCCTTCCAAAAGCAACCTTCGAGTGTCTGGCTTGCCAATCAACCCTGTTTCACCCTACCGTTTGCCAGACGACAGGGTAAACATGGATTTATGTCCACACGGCTGTTCGAGTCAACACGCCAAGACGAAATTTCGAGGCACGAAATATTCAGAACAGTTTGTCGGACACCGCGTTTCCTACATTCTTGCGTCTGTTTCTGGCACGTGATTTCTAATTCCTCGGGATAAATTCGAAATAGGAGAGGCTCGGGCTAAATTCACCGTATTCTTGGTTTGAGATAGAAAAATTCACCAGAAATAGAATTTTAAACGTACGAAGAAAATTGGTCAATTGTCTCCATATCAAGAAGCATACTTTATAAATAACTCGGTCAACAAATTAACCATATACGACTCCGAACAAATCTCGAGTAAATAAAGACACATTTGGTCTAAGCTCCTCGAATGGCTGTCCATTTTAAATGGTACATTTTCCGTAATTTCCTCCGTGTCTCATTGGGGGCTGGATGTTAAAAACACCTTTAGTCGGTTGTGGCGAGGTTCTGCGCCGTTTCAGGAGGAGATAATCTTCGCTTGTCCTCGTTAAGATTGCATTCCCTTTGTGAAAGCACTTGGGGGAAGGTAGGAAGATAGAAGGGAAGAAACTCATTTCGCTGGTTAATGGAAATTACAGAGTTTTCCGTAGCGACGTCGGGAGCCGCGCGTATATGAACAGCTTCGTTAACTTCGCCGGATTTCCTTTGGCTCCGCGAGCTCTCCCTTATCGCGAACGTAACCGCGTGAAGCTAAACGGTTCGTGACAACCGCCAGCGTGTTTCATTTCCTATTCGGTGAATTATGAACATTAGCCCGACACCCGTGCCGATTTTCTGCTTGTTTCCTCGTTACCGCCTTGATCTGGTTAATCCGCGTGCAACGCGATACAACGCCGCGTCGTTTAGCTTCTCAATGCAACAATAGCGTCTAACGTTGCAAGCCGTTTCACTTTCCACCTGAGTACCGCCTGTCTGATCAGTCTCGCTCTAATCCACTGTGGCTGCCTCTATGTCGCGATTGGGCATTAGCAGCTATTGTCTATTGATCAATATCGACTAATTGCAAGTTAAAATTTGCTTTTCGTCGCTCGTGACTGCAATTAAAATTATATTACACGAAACAACTGGTATTGTGTCTGATCATAATGGCGGGGTTCTACTGAAACTGCAAAATGATTGTTACTACTTCGTTGCTAGTTCATTTATAAAACTACCTTCTCATAATAAGAGAATAATTCTAATATCAACTTATAATTTTTTTTTTTCGTTTCTTAAAATTCTTGAGAATTTTCTGTTCTTGCTGTTGAAATATTACGGAACGATTGTATTTAATTAGTAAAGTAACTTCAAACATGACAAAAAACAATCATATTTTCGAAGTCAGAAATAAGAATAGAGAATCGTATTAAATACGAAAAGTAACATTTTGAATATTTTTCCATTAAATATATGTCTCTAACTTTTAAAAAATCACAAACAATTTGTAACATCGTTTTTCAATATTCCTGAGGACCTGCATTTTCATCCGTATTTTAAACAATTTGTTAAAAATCTCGAGAATTCTCGGGGACAGTAAAAGTTTTTCCAGCGTCTGGCCATTACTGGTTCGATCTACTTAAACCGCCGTCCGACTCGACGCACCGTATCTACGCGACGCTACTCGTTTCCTCGAGTTCTAAATTATTCCTAACGTCGTTAATCGCGTGCCGTTCGTTCGTAGTTCGTTTTAAAACCGTATTTACCGTATTATGAATATAAACGGGGAATTCGTGTCAAAGTTCATGGCGTAATTAGACTGATAATGGCATTAAAATTTGCGCCGGTTTGTTGTCGGCCAGTTAACGGAAATTGCTTCGCCGCCAATGTCGTTACGAGATTCGCCGACATTACAAAGGCTCCGTACGAAGCTAAGTGGATCCTGGCAAGGAGCCTTTGTACCACGCTGTTTCCGGGTCCGGTTCTTTTCGTTGAGCCTCGATCTTTCTCAAACTCGCGCTAGCAGAGAACTGCTGGATGAAAAACTTCTTCATCGATCCTCTTCTTGCTACGTTCCGCGAGCATTTTCA